ATGGTAGATAATGATTCATGTAACCTACTTCAAATAGTTGGGAAAAGGTTTTTGATAATGATGATAATTCAATTTTTCTCCCGTTTCTTATTACTAGATTGCCAAATCTGAAATGGTAAAGTCATTTTATGACTTCAAATCTTGAAGATATGAAGTCAGGTCCCTTTATACAAAGTTGAGCGTGTTTTGACTTTGGATTTCACATTTAACTTTGCATATGGAGATCCAATTTTAGATCTTGGAGATTCTAAGTCATAGTTGGTTTTATATTGTTCTAAAATGACGTTGTTCCTTAAACTCTGAAAACCCTTATGGTGGCCTAAAAATTTATTATTCGCCTTGATTATAAAACTTGAAACTCCAAAAACAACATAGATCTGCCAAGGTGCAGTTTGTATAGAGCCTAGACTATAAACAATCAAATTAGAGCCTATCTTCAAATAGTACGAGAAATGTGGTTTCAATACTAAAAATCTTTTTTATAGTCTTAAAATATATTTTCATCTTTATTTATAAAGTTTAAAGCTTAAAAAATAGTGTAGATCGAGAGATCTATGAAAACTTAAAAATCTTGAAAAATTGACGGTCCAAAAATGCGTTACAAAATACACTATTTCCAAAATTTGAAATCCATTTTTTTTCTTCTCATGTTCATGCATCTTGATGTTGAGATTATCAATTTGATGATATTTGGGTATCAAAACAACCTCTTATAGTGAAATTTTTGAAGTAGGCTCTAATTTGATTGTTTAGAGTCTCGGCCCTGTATAAACTTTTCTCAAAACTAAATGATGTAGATAACGTGCAATAAGATCCATTATTTTAAGGGCTTGAAATATTTTTTTTTGACTTTATAATTATCACGAGCGAGATGATCAAGTTGAGGATTTTCTGACTTCAAACTCAAGTTCCTGCCATTTTAGAATGATGCACAAATCCCATTGTTAGGAGTAGGTACGTTTAGGTTTGGAGTTGAAGGTGGAAAGAAAAGCCAGGTTAGTGAAAAGTAGGCCAATGTGGATTGAGAGGATAATATTGTCCATCCTTAAACTACGTGCAAAAGGCTCTAAAGTTAGGACTTAGGACCTATTTTATTTAATCAATAGGTGTGGTTAATAAAAAGGGAAATGTGTGTATGTCACCCCTACAACATATAAGCTATATGGGACCCCTCTTTTTAGCTCTTCGATCTGAATTGAACGGTTGGAGTATTCATACTACAATGTTATCTACATCATTGCACGGTTGGAGTATTCATACTAAATTATGTTTTATTAATCATTTTTTTTCTATAAAATATTTTTGGATTAAATTTTGGGCGTCCCATCGTAAAATTAGGACGGACTTGAAAAAAAATATATATATTTTATATAAAATAAATGACCAAGATGCCCCTTTAATTTTTAGGGGTATTTTAGAAATTTTTATCATCATAAATATTTTTATTATTTTATCTTGTGGACCCTTATCGGATCTATACATGTCCCAAATTTTGTTTCAAAATTATTTGTAAAAAAAATTAAAAATTTAAAAACTATGAGCCGTCTGATCAATATCTGACGGTTAAGAGCTAGTTGTAACACTGTGACTCAAGCCATCTCAGCCATCTACTCAGATCTGACGACTGAAACTACGTGTCACATCTGCTATATATGTAAAGGGGTCACACAAAAACCCTCCTTGAAAAAAGAAAAGTATCTTTATACACTCTATTTTGGTATACCGTTTCGTCATAAGCTTAGAGTTTTAAAAACGGTTTGACAGCGTGAGTTTTTTAAAAAATATATCTTCTAAATCCCTCGACCAAATTTGACTTTTTTGACTGCCTTCTTGACACAATAAAAAACTAAATCTATCTATCTAGTAAACCTCTATATACAATGTTTTATTTCTCTCTCTATAATGTATATATTTTCTCTTTCTTCTGGATAGAGAGAGACATTATAAAGATAAAGATCTCAGAGACAGGCATATTACAGAGGGAAAAATAAATACATTGTCAATGGAGCGGTTTAGTAGATAGAGTTTTTTTTTTAGTTATTGTTTGGAAAAAAAAAGCAATAAAATGGAAAAATTGGGTCCAACGGTAGAAGATATATTTTTTAGAAACCCTATGCTTCTGAAAAGTTTTTAAAACCCCCGGTCTATGCGAAATGGTATACCAAAACCGGATATACAGATATATTTTCCCGAAAAAAAATTGTTAATCCATGTTTTAAATTACCCCGATTACCTCTTTTATCTTTTTTTTTTTTTTTTTGTAAATTTCCCTCTCCTTCCGCAATGAGTTTTATTTTTTCTATTTGTAATTGTGTTTTTCCGTCTCTTTGGGCTTTCGTGGGGGTATTGTAGAAAGAAAAGTAGTTCCCGAGTTAGCGGGTGCAAGAGCCGCTGATTCACCAACATCCATTTTTAAGATGGGCGTTTGAAAAATTCCACGTGGCTAAAACAGTTTTAGAGAGTATAGAAATTTCCGTAAAAATAGTTTTTATTTTATTTTTATATTCATGATCATCTCAATTTAAATCATGAATCCCTAAAACTTTAAATAAAAAACCTATTTTTAAGATAGATTTAAGAGGGCGGCCTCATGTATGCACAATAAGTCGGCCGACTCATAAAAACCCCATATCTATTTCAGAAAGCATCAAACTCACAGACAAGGGCAATAGGGCGGCTATTAAGCCTTGACACTAAACAAAGAGGCCAACTTAAATTATAATTTTATGACCAAACTACCCTCACCAAAAAAAATTTATATCTTTTAAGCGATGTGCCTAGGCTTTGAACATTTCCTCGACAACGCGGAAGAAATCAAGGAAGTGATTGGCTTTTGTGCCTGCTGCTTAAGCCATTAAAAGCCATCTCCATCTTATAAAATAAAAGCTAAATAGGGAGAAAATAAAGGCAAATGGGGAGACTATGAGATAATGGTATTGGGGCCTAGGCGCTAGTATTGTCAAGGCTCATGGTGAGGTCTCCGACTCTATTCTCACCAAAGGGTAGGGGCCAAATCCCCACTGAGATACTACTTTGTGATAACGGGGTTGGAGTCGTGGTGGTAGCACTATTTGTACCTTAGTGAAAGTCTAGGCTTTTATTCTCCTGGTGAGGTTTCTAACTCCATTCTCACCAATAGGTAGAGGCCAAATCCCCACTGACATATTACTTTATGAGAATGGAGTTGGAGTCGTGGTGGTAGCACAACTTATGCCTTAGTTAAAGTCTAGGCTTCCACTTTAACTTAGCGCATTAAAAAACCACTAATTAAAAAATAGGCCCACCATCCCCACTTAATTACCCAAACAAAATGAGGAGAGACTATGCAATGCACGACTGGTGTATGGAAAATCCTTTTATATAATGGATGCAGAGGTTGATCGTAGTTCATCCATTATTGGAATTCGAAGGTAGATGGCCCCATTGTGTACCATGCATATCACGGCATACTTACAATGCTAAACTCATTTTCACCCAATGTTATCAAGTGTGGTCTCGCTAGTTGGAATCCCATTGGTTTGCGACTGATTCAAAACAAAAATTAAATTTGGTAAAAATAGGCCAAAATTATTATTTTACAAACTTTTACCAATCGGGCCAAGTGATTTTGATTTATTGGACCAATGAAACAAAATCTAACAATTTTTTAACGATATATTTTATATTTCAATGTTACTGTTCATGTTCTTTCTTTATTATTTTATCATGCAGAAGAGCAGAATACACAAGTCGAACAAATTTTGATTGGAAAAGTCCCCCACTGCTCTCGTGGTTCTAATAACACTTTTGACTCATTTTTTTATAGGATTGTATACAAAGAGATCATTTACCATTGTACATAAAAGTCACAATCATTATTGTCCTTTAAATTTCAAAATGTGTGGTTATAAAAAAGCTATTAAATAGACACAAAAAGCATCTTAAAAGCACAAATTGGTGATTTTGAATAGTATTTCACCTCACCACGGACCTAGCATTTATACGTCAATTTATTAAACGGAGTAGCAACGAATGATGCTATGTCCATGACGGATACTATCATAGACATGCTAGGTCCATGGTGGTATTTAATCACCGCTGTCCGAAAAAAAAAAGACAGCGTCAAACTGGTGTATTCATTTTCGGCCATAAGCATTGCATACTGGCTGACATAAAAAATTTGGGGTCATCGTTTTATTATGACTTGGCTTGCCCTTTTAAGTGACGGGTTCAAGCCAACAACAAAGAGGCCCTCCTCACTTAAAAAGTTATTTTCTTCTTAAATGGGAAGTTTATCAAGACACGCTTAATTTTTTAACAATTTAATAGTTTATGTTTTGTCAACTATTCTAACTCGTCTTCATATATATTTTTATGGGTATATTAAAATTAAATTTCTCATATGTATTTGGATAATTCTCCCTGAAGTTTCATTGAATCGATATATGGCGGTCATTGCCCAATCCTAGTAAAAGTTTGGAAGCCTGCAGGGTAGGGTAGGGCCAATTCAGTCATTTTTGAAACACAGGATTAATACTTGATGGGTATTTTTCCCATATTTATTTACAATACGAGCCACGGTTAATCGATCATTTCCCAATAGATATGCTCTAAATGCTTAAGGGTATTTTAGACATTTATTTTATGATTTTGAGGCGCTTAGAGAACAAGTCGACGACTCCTAACAGTTTATGAATGGTTGGTGGGTCCCACCATTCGAGGCTGACTGGGTAATTAATTATTTTAGCTTTTTAAGTTTAACAATTCCACGTTTATTATAAAAATTTCACAGAATGCTGATTTGTGATAATTATTTTTCCCATTAATCTCTTACTCAACGCCCAAAAAAAAAGAAAAAGGTTCAAATTTTGAAACTAAATTTTCAAGAAGTTCGCTGTCTTCCAAACAAAAAGATAAATAAGAAATTAAATTTAAAAGGAAAAGGATGGTGGTCAACAGAATGTGTGCATAATAATTTAAATATTTAAAAAATTAGATTTAAAAGTTTAAGAGAGAGAGAGGAATTGCAGGAAAATGGGTCATAAAGTCACTCAAAAGCTGTACATTCACTCCATATCAGACTCATAACCCTCTATCCACCCTTCTCATTTTCGCCTCTTCCCTTTCATTTATTTTCTTCCCCAAAAGAATCCAAATTTTGGGTTCTACTTCAATTAAAGGAAATCTTTTTTCTTTGTTTGGTTGTGTGAATTTCCCTACAGAAAACCAATTTCAATATGTAATTTTAGCTTAATTTTCTATATGGGTAATTTTAACAGAAAGACCTGATTTAAATATGCAACTTGTATATTCACTTACTTTTTTCTGTTATTATTCTGACTGTTCTGAGATTGATATCAGGTTTCCTAAAAGTTTTTGGGTTTTAGTACTTCAGACTGATTAAAAAAAAAAGAGTCAGTACTTCTTACAGTTTATCAGAAATATATGAGTTTTAACTTTTAATTTGATAAAGTCATATTCTTTTTATTAGTAAGAAATATTAGGCCTTTGTTGAAGTTTGTGGAGGGAGGATATGGGAAAGCAGGGGCCTTGCTATCATTGTGGAGTTACAAGTGAGTCCTCAATTTCTTTCCTATGCAATATTCAAGGAAAAATTATCGTTTGGTTGTATTTGTTTTTGTGTTATAGACTTTTTTTTTTTTTGTGAAAATTTTGTGTTGTAGGCTTGGTTTGAAGTATTAATGAGTTGTATCTGTTCTTCTGTTTTGGACTTGGTTTATTTCTATTATTCACTAGAACGTATGCTTGTGTTGTCTCAACTTTTTCAACTATAG